CAGCCTGACCCCAGGGGGCAGAGTCAGCCAGGTGCTGGCAGATGGGAGCCAGGCCAGTGTGCCCTGAATTGATAAGAACTAGGGGATACGGGCAGACCATGAATCGTTTCACACGCACCTGTGCACACACACACATACTTACTCATTCCTGGTTTACTTCAATATTTGTGGGTTTATTTCAATGCATATTGGAAAAAAAATACAGCCAGTACATTAAATCTGTGATTTCAAGGATTTTTTGTGTGTATGTGTGCTTTTTTTTTTTGACTGTGCACACAGCTTGAGGGATCTTAGTGGCCTGACCAGGGATCAAACCCAGGCCCCCGGCAGTGAGAGCACCAAGTCCTAAACACTGGATCACTGGGGAACTCTGTCATGGATATTTTTGGATGAGGTCACTTTCAATTAGATGTAAGATAGATTGGGTGGTGGGTAAACATTCTGGAGATGATGGAATGGTTGAAAGTTTAGTTGTTGGTGATGGGTCTTAGTGAAGAATTCTAGGCAGGGGAGTGAGCTGGGTGGTTTGCACTTAGGAGATTTCTCGCATCTGTGTGCAGAACAGATTGGACGGCGGCAAGCTGGGGGGCAGTGGGATGGGGTTGAGAAGGAGCAGGTGGGTCTGGGAGTTAAATAGGTTCAATCAACAAAATTAGAGACATTACCAGATACGGGGAAGGGGACAATGGTGACTTCGCTGGACGTTAAGGAGCAATACGTGAGTGGCATCTGGGGCAGGATGACTGAGGTATGTTTGCGTTATCTCTGCCGCTAATCTCCCAACCTCATCTCCTCTCATCACCTTCCAGAACTCAGTCAATCCATTGCTCACCAGGCTTCCCATTAGCTTAGAATACCTCTGACCCCCTCGTCCTGTGGGAAGTCCTGCTGTCTTCTTTTTTTTTTTTAATTAATTTTATTGGAGTAGAGTTGATTTATAAAGTTGTGTTAGTTTCAGGCGTACAGCAGAGTGAATCAGTTATCTGTGTACAGATACCCACTCCTTTTTCTAGAGTCGTTTCCCATTTAGGTCATCACAGAATATTGGCAGTGCTCCCTGTGCCAAACAGTAGCTCCTTATTATATATTTTACATATAGTGTGTATATGTCATCAAATCTCCCAATTTTTCCTTCTCCCTTTCCCCCTTGGTAATCATAATTTTGCTTTCCACATCTGTGACTCTATTTCTGTTTTATAAATAGGTTCATTTATACCATTTTTTTTTAGATTCCACATTTAAGCGATATCATACAGTATTTGTCTTTCTCTGTCTGACTTACTCAGACAATCTAGGATGACAATCTCTAGGCCCATCCACGTCACTGCAAATGGCATTATTTCATTCTTTTTTATGGCTGAGTAATATTCCACTGTGCATATGTACCACATCTTCTTTATCCATTCCTCTGTCAGTGGATGTTTAAGTCGCATCCGTGTCCCGGCTGCTGTAAACAGTGCTACAGTGAACACTGGGATATATGTATCTTTTCAAATTACGGTTTTCTCCAAATACACACCCAGGAGTGGGCTGCCTTTTTTCCTGGAGCTTCCCCACCTCCCACATAGAACTGTGTTTTCCTTTTTGCTCCCAGAGCCCTTTGTACCTTTGTGCCTGGCAGGGGCTTGGCACTAGCGATAACTCCCCCTTGTTAACATTTATTGCAGGTCAAACACTGTACCAGGAACATTATGTACAGCTCATGGTTCACTCTCTTCTAACACCCCTGGGAAGCAAAGGGTTTCATCCCCACTTCACAGATGACAAAATCGAGGCTGACAGAGCCAGGATCTTAACCCCAGCCTAGTTACCTCTAATGTGCATGCTCTTAATCTCTCTGCTTCCTATGCCTTATCATGCTCAAGTGTAATTATTCATTTGTGTGTTTGTCTTTGCACTGGACTTCAAGTTCTAGTGGCATTGAGTCTGAAATGGGTCCTTCCCAAGATCCCAGAACCTCAGAGCTGAATGGGACTTCTTCATCTAAAGCTTGAATTTCCTACTAGGGAGATCCGCCAAGAAGTGCTTGCATGGCCCACTTGTTGGGGGATCTCACTATCATCCAAGATGAGCAGATTTGTCTCTAGATGGCTCTTTCCACTACTAACGTCTTCCTTGGTTGAGTTTTACCTCTTGACCCCTGTTTCTGTCTTCCTGGGACCTCCAGTGTCTAAGACATAACAGTGTACGTGTATGCTCAGTTGTATCCAACTCTTTGTGACTCCATGGACTGTAGCCCACCAGGCTTCTCTGTCTGTGGGATTCTCTAGGCAAGAATACTGGAGTGGGTTACGTTTCCTACTCCAGGGGATCTTCCCGACCCAGGGATTGGTCCTACGTCTCCCGCGTTGCAGGTGGACTCTTTACCATCTGAGCCGTTGGGAAAGTGAGGTGGTAGCACTGACTCTGAGATGTGCAAGGGGATCTTCTAGCTCCCTTTGGTTTAGAGTTGTCCCAGTTCACTAGGAGACTGGGCGAGCAGTACCACTGTCTCTGCTCCGGCTTCCGTTAAGTTGAGCTCTGGTTTCCAGTGCTATAAGCATGTGTGTTAGTTGCTCAGTCATGTCTTTGCAACCCCATGGACTGTAGCCCATGAGGCTCTTCTGTCTCCTGCCTGAAATTCTCCAGGCAAGAATACTGGAGTGGGTTGCTGTTCACTTCTCCAAGGGATCTTCCTGACCCAGGGATTGAACCAGGTCTCTTGCATTGCAGGTGGATTCTTTATTGTCTGAGCCATGAAGGATTCCATACTATAAGCTTGATGTATGATAAAAACAAATACAGTGAATGCATAAATTCATACTGCAAGAATGATAATTTTAGATTTATGAGATTTTTATATTGTTGATTTTTTAGTTCATTTTATGCACTGAGCCACTGACATAAACATATCTTTAGTTTTTATTCTTTGGTCAAGAATCCTATTTTACTAGTATATTTATATACTGTATACTATTTATTATCAATAACGCAGGCCTACAATTAGATTTTTGATTCATTACATAATCATATTTTCTAACCCTGTTTCAGTCGGAAACGAACATCTGACATGTTGGTGTTGTGTGTTTGTGAAAAGACTCAATGCAGTTTAGTTTATTCACTTTTGTTAAAGATGCGGGTTAATTTTGTTTCTCCTTTCTTCTTTTCCTTTTCAGAAAATGTAGACAATTTTTTCTTTTAAATTCCTGGAGTCAGAAGTAACCAAGGTGAATATTTTGGAGTTTTGTAAAATGTATTTTTAATTGGAGGACGCTTGCTTTACAGTGCTGTGCTAGTTTCTGCTACAAGAACGCGAATCGGCCATTAGACGCACACACGCCCTCCCTCCTGAGCCTCTGCACTCTGACCTTCCTACCCCTCCAGGCCGACGGAGGGAACCGAAATGAGCTCTCTGCTGCAGCAGTTTCCCCCTGGCTATCCACTTTACACACGCTAGTGTATGCGTGTCGCTGCTACTCTCTATTCATCCCACCCTTTTCTTCACCCTGGGTCCACAAGTCTGTTCTCCGCATCTGCATCTCTATTCCTGCCCTGCACATCAGTTCATCTGGACCATTTTTCTAGATTCCGTATATATGCGTTAATATATGATATTTGTTTCCCTTTCTTCTCTTGAGGAAACAAACACCATTCTTGGGGAGGAATTGAGAAGTGACCATCTCTAACTATAATTTTGTTTCTCCTTTCTTCTTTTCCTTTTCAGAAAATGTAGACAATTTTTTCTTTTAAATTCCTGGAGTCAGAAGTAACCAAGGTGAATATTTTGGAGTTTTGTAAAATGTATTTTTAATTGGAGGACGCTTGCTTTACAGTGCTGTGCTAGTTTCTGCTACAAGAACGCGAATCGGCCATTAGAACAAAAAAACCCCTCCCTCCTGAGCCTCTGCACTCTGACCTTCCGACCCCTCCAGGCCGACGGAGGGAACCGAAATGAGCTCTCTGCTGCAGCAGTTTCCCCCTGGCTATCCACTTTACACACGCTAGTGTATGCGTGTCGCTGCTACTCTCTATTCATCCCACCCTTTTCTTCACCCTGGGTCCACAAGTCTGTTCTCCGCATCTGCATCTCTATTCCTGCCCTGCACATCAGTTCATCTGGACCATTTTTCTAGATTCCGTATATATGCGTTAATATATGATATTTGTTTCCCTTTCTTCTCTTGAGGAAACAAACACCATTCTTGGGGAGGAATTGAGAAGTGACCATCTCTAACTAGGAAATATTTCTTACTCCATCCTACCTCCCTGTTAACACCCCCATCCACCAGCCCTATTTGTGTGGATCATTACCACGTGGTGTTTTATCTCCCCCCGAGCCTTGGTCACAGACCTTTATTTTTACCTTGATGCTTGCCAATTGACACCTTCATCTCTATTAACTATTTATTTGCCTTTGAGATTACCTCATATTCACTTTCCAAGTGTGCCTCAGTGGTAAAGAATCTGCTTGGCAATGCAGGAGACTTGGGTTCGATCCCTGGGTCAAGAAGATCCCCTGGAGGAGGAAATGGCAACCCACTCCAGTGTTCTTGCCTGGGAAATCCCATAGAGGAGCTTGGCAGGCTTATAGTCCATGGGATCACAAAGAGTCAGACAAGACTTAGTGACTCAACAACAGCAATTTTTTTTCACAGCCCAGTAAAATAAGGGTGTTTCATGGAAAAAAAAAAAAAAGTTGAGTTCTGGGAAGTCCTCCTATCAAGATATCAAAGGGCAAGGTGCTTCATAGTTGTCACCTGTCTCCCGTTGTACTGCCCAGGGCCACGTCCCTTCCGGGACGGGGCTTAGGGTATGTGAGGAGATGACCTCCTTATCAAAGAGCTCCCACGGTCTATCAATGGGCTGGCCTCTCACCCTGAGCATTCCCCGCCCCCTGATGCAATGAAGCCATGTTCTCAGATGTCCTCGTGAACTTTGGGCTCCTGAGTTTCCAAGCCAAACAAAAGTGAAATGTACAGGAGGATCCCCTCCCTGCCCAGGAGGCCCCTCCTCTCCGCCCACTCTCCCAGACTTGATAAGAGAGGAGAAATATTTCTAGACTTGGTGCTACGACTTGTCACTTTGTCACCTCCAGGTAAGTGGCTCCCTGGACCATCCCCTGTTCCCAGTCCTTTTTGGACTGGGTGTATGTTGGGTAACGGGCAGGGAGGGTACCAGGGGTAGCAGTGATAGCCCCAGCCTGCTCTCCCCCGAATCCCCTGCACGTCTCACCCCAGTGCCCATCCATCCTCCTGGCCCCTTCCCGCATCTCCCTCACTTTCCACCCCAGACACTCTTATCTTCAACCACCATCAGTTAGGAGGTCGGGGCAGGAATCCAGGAGAGAGCTGATGGAGACTGGGGCCATGGTTCTTCACAGGAAGATGGAGGACCAGTCCTGCTGCATCATGGCTCTGGGGCTTGAGTAGGTCATTCAACCTCTCTGAGCCTCAGTTTCCTCACCTGTGAAATGGGAATAATAAAGCATCAGGTAAGAGTTCAGAAAGGGGCTTCCCAGGTGGCGCTAGGGGTAAAGAATCTGCCTGCGAATGCAGGAAATGCAAGAGACATGGGTTCGATCCCTGAATCAGGAAGATCCCCCTGGAGAAGGGAATGGCAACCCACTCCAGTGTTCTTGCCTGTAAAATCCCATGGACGGAGGAAGCTCAGGGGTGGCTCAGTGGTCAAGAATCTGGCTATCATGCAGGAGATGCAGGTTTGATCCCTGGGTGGGGAAGATCTCCAGAGGAGGAGTTGGCAACCCACTCCAGTATTCTTGCCTGGGAAATCCCACGGACAGAGGAGCCTGGAGGCTACAATTCATGGGGTCGTAAAAAGTTGGACATGACTGACCAACTGAACTCTCATGCATGCGTTAGGACACCAGTTATATCAGATTTTATCTCTTCTGAATGACCTCATTTTAACTTGTTTGTCTTTGTGAAGACTGTCTCCAATTCAGGTCCCGTTTTGATTCTGGGGGTTAGGACCCCAACACTCATTTTTTGGGGATAGACAAAAATTCAACCCCAAACTTTGTTAATTGATTCTTATTTTATTCAGTTCATCACTATCCACTATTACTGATCCAACTGTCCCAGATTGGCCAGTGTGTGTTCGGGCAAGCTAACTCCTGTGTCCTTGGATCTATCTCCATGATTCCTTGAGCAGTTTCTCTCTTTCTGGCACCAAAAAGATATTCCAGATTCTACTTTCTTTGACCCAGCACTGGAATCGTTTATTTCTCCAAGGAGAAATACCTTTGCTAGATATACTCATCACTACTGGTGTACTACCGTTTCTGAAAGATGATATGTACACGGACACCTCTGCTTTCAATTCAGCACTCTTGGGTTCACTCACTCCTTCCCCCGTTGCGTATTTTCTTTTATAAAACAATTTATTTATTTATTTATTGCTGGCTGTCCTTGGCCTGTCCTTGCCGCACTGGCTTTTCTCTAGTTGCCGCGAGCGGGGGCTCCTCTCCAGCTGCGGTGAGTGGGCTTCTCATTGCGTGGGCTTCTCGTTGCAGGGACTTCTCCTGTGGTGGAGTACAAGCTCCAGAGTGTGCCGGCTCAGTGGTTGTGGCACAGAGGCTTAGCTGCCCTGCGGCGTGTGGGATCTTCCCGGATCAGGGATTGAACCCGTGTCTCCTGCATAGGCAGGCAGACTCTTAACCACTGGACCACCAGGGAAGTCCCCCCACCCTTGGCATATTTTCAGCACTCTTCTCCAAGAAGGACAAACCTGGCTTCCGTGATCCTCATTTTTTCCAGAGGCCTAGAATACAAGAAGCCCTCTTATTTTAAGCGATTGTGTGCTTCTGTGTGTTTGCTCAGTTGATCAGTCATGTCTGACTCTTTTTGAACCCATGGTCTGTAGCCCATCAGGCTCCACTGTCCCTGGAATTTCCCAGGCAAAAATACTGGAGTAGGTTGCCATTGCATCCTCCAGGGGATCTTCCCGAACCAGGAATCAAACCTGCATCTTCTGGGTCTCCTGCATTGACAGGTGTATTCTTTACTACTAGCACCACCTGGGAAGCCCATTTTAAGTTGTTAAAAGTCACTTGTGTGTCGAGGGAATGAGTGCCTTTTATTGCCTTTTTATACAGTAGGTTTTGATATAAGAAGGGACAGAGGGAGTAAGGAAGTACTGGGGTCTTAGGAGGGTTGGGGGAGGAAAAAGAGAGAGAGAAGGGGGCCCTCAAAGCTTCATCTCTCTAAGGATTTGGCCAAGGAACCCGCCAAAGGAAGCTTCCTTTTCTGCCTGCTTGCCTGGAAGTGTGCCCAGGGTCGGGGAGAGCCCAGGGAAAACCCACTGCTCCCTGTCTGCCTGTGTACCCTCTCAGATTTCGTTCTCATTAATCAGACCCTTGGATGAAAGTCAGGCCACGTGAGGGAGATAGATGAGATTTTTGACACTGGGTGCAGCCTTAATGAAGCCTTCTAGGCCCCACCATTTGAACAAACATTTTGAAGGTTTCCTCAGCATCTTCTTTTTTTTTGGTTGTGCTGCATGACTTGTGAGATTAGTTCCCCCACCAGGGATTGAACCTGAGCCCGTGGCAGTGAAAGCACAGAGTCTTAACCACTAGATGGCCAGCGAATTCCCTCCTTTAAATTTTAATTGAGATAAAATCCACATTACATAAGAATTCATCATTTTAACCTCTTTAAATCATACATGTGAGTGGTATACTCACAAGTTGTACAACCGTCACTACTATTAAATTCTAGAATATTTTTATCACCTCCAAAAGAAACTGTATCTCTCTACTTTCTCCTCCTACCAGGCCCCCAGCCGCCAGTAATCTGCTCTAAGTCCCTATGGATTTGTCTGTTCTGAACTTTTCTTATCAATGGAATCATAGTGTCTGGGCTGTAGTGCCTGTCATTTAACATAATGAATATATTGGCACTACATTCCTTTTCACGGCTGAATAAAATCCCACTGTATGTCCCACTGTACCTTTGCTCATCCATTTATCATTGGAGGGACATCAGGTTGTCTCCACTTTTCGGCTACTATGAATAATGTTGCTATGAAAGTTCAGGTGCAAATTTCTGTGTGAATATTTGTTTTCTGTTTTCCAGGGTTGGGGTTAGGGTTAGGGTGTGAAGTTATTGGGTCATACTATAACTCTATATTTAGCTTTTTGAGGAACCGCCAAACTTTTCCATAGTAATCATACCGTCTCACATTCCCCATGAGCAATGTATGAGCGTTCCCATCTCCTTGGCAACACTTTTATTTTCTGTCTGTTTTTTTTTCCCATAGCCATCCTTGTGGGTGTGAATTGATATCTCATTGCTTTTCCCTACTGACTAATGGATGGTGTTGAGCATCTTTTCATGTGCTATGGAACATTTGTAGTCTTCTTTGGAGAAGCATCTAGTTAAATTCTCTGCTTATTTTTAAATTAGATTTTTTTTTTGTCTTTGTATTGTGGACTTTGTATATTCTGGATGCTAGAATTATCAGATAATTTCCAAATATTTTCTCCCATTATGTGGGTTGGCTACACACTTTCTTGAGAGTGTGCTTTGATTCACAAAAGTTTTTAATTTTAAAGAAGTCAAACTTATCTACTTTCTCTGTGCTTGCTTGTGCTTTTGGTGTCGTATCAAAGAAACTGTTACTTAATCCAAGGTCTTCTAAGGTTTTCCCTGGTGACTCAGCTGGTAAAGAATCCGCCTGCAGTGTGGGCCACCCTGGGTTGGGAAGATCCCCTGGAGGAGGGCATGGCAACCCACTCCAGTATTCTTTCCTGGAGAATCCCCATGGACAGAGAAGCCTGACTAAGAGTTTTAGCTCTTTCATTTAGATTTTTGCTCTATATTGACTTCATTCTTCTATGTGGTATCTAGTAGAGTGTCACTTTATTTATTTGCTTATGGATATCCAGTTGTTCCAGCACAACTGTTGAGAGACTGTTCTTTCCCATCAAATGAACTTTGCACCCTTGTCAAAAATCAATTAACTGTAAATGTAAGGGTTTCTTTCTGGACTCTCAACTCTGTTCCTTTACTCTACATATGTATCCTAATGCCAGTATCAATCTATCTTGATTACCTTAGGGTGCAGTTTTGAAATTCGAAGTGTTAGTCCTCCAACTTTGCTTTCTTTTTCATGATTGTTTTGGCTGCCTCTGAGTTCATTGCACTTCCACGTCAATTTTAGGATCAGCTCGTCCATTTGTCTTCTTTTTCTTAAACTTTTTTCTCCCTCATCTTCCGTCTATATTTCTAACACCCTCCATGGTGGCTGAGGTTTCAGCTGCAGACCAGATACAGTCAGGGACCATGTGACCCGGAACAAGTTACTTCACCTCTGTGCAACAAAATGAATAGTATCTACTCCATAGGGTCATTATTGTAAAGATTAGATTAAATGCCCTGATACATGAAAGGTCATTGGAAGAGCCTGTGGATTGCTTAGTCAGCTCACCAGCTTGTAAACAAGTTGTTGTAATAAAAACAACAAAACATGATGACCACCTTTTGCTTGCCGAAATGTTCTAATAAATATACACTTTAGTGAACTACCTCTTTGATAAATAAGCCAATATTTTTGTAAAATTTTTAATGCTTCCAAGTCAATGAAAAGTTTATAAAAGACTACTTACAAAAGGCATTTTATATGTCATTACCTGGCAGATTATAAGATACAATTATCACTGTTTTGTACTTGCTATATTATCTCCTAATGAAAGAATGGTCTTTCCATGAAGAAATGGACTTTTTGAGCTGTATTCACTCCTGGATCCCTTGTCCCTAGAACTTACCTGCCATTTAGTCAATAATAAATATTTGTTGGGAAATAAAGGAAACACATAACCATCTTTTCATGGGCGCTCTGGACAGTCCTCTATCCAGAGGGGGAGCCAAACACTTGATGTGAGTTATCTTACTGAATCCTCATAATAACCTACAAGGCAGATATTGTCAGTACGTTCCATTTTACAGACGGGGTGTGGACACTAAGGCTTGGAGGAGTTAAGTAACCCTGGCCACCCAGCTGAGTTAAGATTTCAACCCTGGCAGGTGACTCTCCAATCTAGAAAGGTGGTCCTCTGAGCCCTGGATCCTGGTCAGTCTTCTCAGGGCTTAGGGAGGGGCTTTATTTTTTTTTAAGTGATGCAAAATATTTATTCCAAGCTGGTAGGGGCTTTAAACGATGGATTCTGGACTGACTTCCAAGAAGCAGGTCTTAGGAAACCTGCGGGTGCTTCTTACCCACAATCCAGGATGCACCAGGGGTCACACCCAGATTCCACATCACCCTCTCCTCCAGGCACGTCAGGTCAGTCTAATGTGAGGAGCAGAGCCAATTAAGCTCTCTCGACCCCTGTCCGGCTCCCTGATCGTCCCTCCCCTGGGAAGCTATGTAATCTCTGATCCCTGCCCCTAGTACCTTCCTATCACACCTGCTGGTGGATCCAACCATGACACCAGACCACAGATCTGACCTCGCTGACCCTGCACCTCAAAGCTGAGTTGGCCCCCTGCCCACAGGATCAAAAGAATGGTCTTTCCATGAAGAAATGGACTTTTTGAGCTGTATTCACTCCTGGATCCCTTGTCCCTAGAACTTACCTGCCATTTAGTCAATAATAAATATTTGTTGGGAAATAAAGGAAACACATAACCATCTTTTCATGGGCGCTCTGGACAGTCCTCTATCCAGAGGGGGAGCCAAACACTTGATGTGAGTTATCTTACTGAATCCTCATAATAACCTACAAGGCAGATATTGTCAGTACGTTCCATTTTACAGACGGGGTGTGGACACTAAGGCTTGGAGGAGTTAAGTAACCCTGGCCACCCAGCTGAGTTAAGATTTCAACCCTGGCAGGTGACTCTCCAATCTAGAAAGGTGGTCCTCTGAGCCCTGGATCCTGGTCAGTCTTCTCAGGGCTTAGGGAGGGGCTTTATTTTTTTTTAAGTGATGCAAAATATTTATTCCAAGCTGGTAGGGGCTTTAAACGATGGATTCTGGACTGACTTCCAAGAAGCAGGTCTTAGGAAACCTGCGGGTGCTTCTTACCCACAATCCAGGATGCACCAGGGGTCACACCCAGATTCCACATCACCCTCTCCTCCAGGCACGTCAGGTCAGTCTAATGTGAGGAGCAGAGCCAATTAAGCTCTCTCGACCCCTGCCCGGCTCCCTGATCGTCCCTCCCCTGGGAAGCTATGTAATCTCTGATCCCTGCCCCTAGTACCTTCCTATCACACCTGCTGGTGGATCCAACCATGACACCAGACCACAGATCTGACCTCGCTGACCCTGCACCTCAAAGCTGAGTTGGCCCCCTGCCCACAGGATCTCGGCTGAACTCACCTGGTGAGAGGCACCGCCTGAACCTTGAACTCAGGTAGAACTCAGTTCAAATGCCAGCTCTCCCCTTTCCTAACCTCGGAGCTTCAGCCTCCTTGCCTATAAAGTGGGGGAAATTAACACAGACAAGGGCTTCAGAGTACTTAGTTTCATCGGCAAGTGGGGCTCTGCTCCACCGGTCACCTTTCCTACCCCATGCACCCCAGCCGAACATCATAACCCTTGTCTGTGGTCTGCTTTTGCACCACTTAGGGTCATCAAGGCCCATTCTTCCTTGCTGGGACACGTCTTCATGTATGGAAGTCGTTTCTAGCCCAAGCTAACAGCTCGCTTCTTCTGATCGGTTCTTGTTAGGATGTGCCTTGGAGCGCCCTCGGTCATTTGGCCGCTGTCCGTTGGCCCAGCTTCCCTTTGAGTTCTGTGCTACATCACCGCTCATGGTGTGGCTCACCCAGGACAGCACCCTGGCTACGGTTCATGAGGGCAGGACCACAGCCGCCTGCTCCCTACCAGGCGCAGCTCTGATCCCCCCCGACCCCTCAATTCCTCCCCAGGGCCGGCTCCACTGTACAGAACATCGGAGGGGAAAGGCCCTCAGCGAGGACTTGGCCAGGCTTCTCAGACTTCAGATATTCTTAGATATCAGATATATTGTCTCTGTCTCTGTCATATTTACATACCATTTGTTCTGCGATTTGCTTTATTTCGTTTTTTTAGTCAAAAAAGGCTTCCCTAGTGACTCAGTTGGTAAAGAATCTGCTTGCAATGCAGGAGGCCCGAGTTCAATCTCTGGGTTGGGAAGATCCCCTGGAGAAAGGAATGGCAACCCACTCCAGTATTCTTGCCTGGAGAATTTCATGGACAGAGGAGCTGGGCTGGCTACAGTCCATGGGATCTCAAAGAATCAGACACAACTGTGAGACTAACTTTCAACCTCCAGTTTTTTTAGTCAACTCATATTTTCTCTATCACTGTCATAAATATAAAACCCCTCATCATAGACAGACCCTAACAAGACATATTTAAATTAAAATGAAAAGCACCCATTCTTATGTAGCACCTGTGGTGGTGTGACCGCTACACCTGGGGAAATGCAGATCTGGCCAACACCCCCACTTCTTAGACGGACGAAGCCCAGCAGGGGATGGGGCAGGGTCCGAGCTGGAGTGGAGGGGCTCTGGGTGCTTCACGGAGCACCCCCCTTTCTTTTTGTCCACCTTGCAGCACGTGGGATCATAGTTCATGGGCCAGGGATAGAACCTAGGCCCCCAGAAATGGGAGCTCGGAGTCTTAATGAATGGACTGCAGGGAAGTCCTCCTTCCCCAAGTCTTTGCATCCACTTGCCCTCCTGCCTTCATTCTCTTTCTCTAGTTATCTCTTTCTATTCTGCTCTCTTGGAACCTTCAACTTCTCCCTCTTTTACTTTGACTAATTGCTCTGGCTATTGGATCCCCCGCTTTAAGCGGGAAAGTGCAGGTCCCCATGTTGGGAGTCAGGGTAAGTGGCTCTGTGGTGGTGTCCAGTCACCTTTTGTAGATTTCAGTTTTCCCCTTTGTAAAACGGGCTGGTAAACCCTGCCTTAACCACTTCCCCAGACACAGCAGTGAGACTGGGTATCGAGTTTTGTTTTGTCTCGAACTGGCCTTTCTTTTATTTTTTTTAATTAATTTTTATTGGAGTGTAATTGTTTTACTATGTTGTGTTTGGGTGGGGTTTCTTTTTCTTTTTTTTTTTTTGGTTTTGGGAAAGCTTGTAATTGATGTTAACTAATCGGGGTGAGGCACCCCACCCCAAATCCTCCCGCTAGATGACCTTCTGCCGTCCCACTCTGGTTGCAACATGTGGTCAATGCACGAAGGCGTCCCACCCTGCTCTGTCCAGTCCCCACTCTTCTCCAGCATGCTGCTTCCCCTCCCAGCGCCCCCTGAGTCATGAAACTCAGACAGATAACAGGCTGTCCCCTCTGAATCACTGAGGAGCAAGGATTAGAAGGGGCTCCCTAGAATGGACTCGGGAAAAGCTCTTGCATGTGTAAAGGGCTCTCATTGAATGCTCCCATCCTCTGCCAGGTGAGAGTTGCCACTGCCGGCTGGGGGGGGAGCTGACTGGGGTGCTCAGTGCTTCTCACTCCGTAAACAAGGACAATGAGATCAGGCACTGCTGATCAAGGCCTCCCCAACTTCAGCCCTGTCCTCATCAGAGGACTTGCCATGACAGCACAGCCAACCTCACACCCTCCACAAGGGCATCCCCTACTTTCCTCCTCGCAGAACTGGCCAGTCCTTCCAATGTCCCCTTGTCTCAGGTTTGGGTCCCCCAAAGAGACCCTGAGATGAGGATTCATGGGCCAGTGCTTTATCCAGCAGTGCTTCCAGGGGAAAGCAGCAGGGGAGAAGGGAAGCGGACCCTGAAGGGTAGATAGGGTTCACTCAAGCCTTGTCTCGCAAAGAGAAACTGACTCAACCTCGACAGGAACACAGGGAACAGTGTAGATCACACTGGACCTGGAGTCTGTACCCCTCCAGCCAGCATTGGTCAAGGGCTTCCCCGAGGATGTAAGTTTCCAGACACTTCCCACTTTCCTAGACCCTGCAGGCTAGGCAGCTCTGGTAGCTTGGAGGCTAGAAAGGCAAGGTCACCAAGAGGCGGTGTGCATGAGCATGGGCAAGGGGTCTGAGGGGCTGGAGACGAATGATACTTGACTCTACGCCCACTCTGTCAGCACCTGCAATAGCTGATTCTACGCACTTGATCTTATACATGACTCCCCACTTAGAAGCCTGGCACAAGGTACATGCCTAATAAGAGCTGCTAAATGAATGAATGGATGAAAGGAAGGAAAGAGAGAGGATAACATTATCCATTTTCAGATGAAGAAACTGAGGCTCAGAGAGATGAATGACTGACCAAGAGTCCCACAGGCAATGGCCAGCATAGCCAGGCTCCCTATCAGCCTTCTGACTGTTCATCCAATGTGTTTGCTCTTCACCCTGGCGGGGGATTGCCCTCCTCCTCCAGCGCTTTCTTAGCATGCTCAGGATAACCCCTGACTCAGCTGACAACAACTTCCTCTTTACAGATTTGAGGTTTCTAGGACTTTGAATGAGGGGGAGAGACTCCCCAAAGAGAGGCCTCTATAAAAGCCGATGTTTCCTCCTAGCTGCCTGAAAAGGGCCAGAGGGTAGCTCAAGTGCTCTCGTCCCAGCCGTTCTCCTCCTGCCCACCAGCACTGAGCCCTGAGCCGCCCTCTCTGCTCTCCAGGACATGGCGGGGCCCGTGACCATGGCAACCAGCCTCTTGCTCTTGGCCCTGTGCATCACCCCTGCAGGTAAGACCTCCGACCCCATCCTGGGTCTCCTGTTCGGAACAGCCGTCCCAAGGGCATGACTGGGATGGCACAGCAGAGCGTGGAGGACCGAGCAGCCTGGGTCTGCAGGGGAACGGTGAGAAGGGGGGCAGCCCAGTGGCTGGACTGGAGGTGTTTAACGCGGGGTGAGTGTATGCTAAGTCGCTTCAGTCATGTCCGACTCTTTGTGACCCTATGGACTTTAGCCTGCCAGGCCCCTATGTCCACGGGATTCTCTGAGCAAGAATACTGGAGTGGGGTTGCTGTGCCTTCCTCCAGGGGACCTTCCTAACCCAGAGATCCAACCTATGTCTCTTGCAGCTCCTATGTTGCAGGCGGATTCTTTACCCCTGAACCACCGGGGAAGTTCTTAGTGCGGGGTATGGGTCCTTATTGAAGCTCAGAATCTAGGGCAGGCTTGCAGAGAGGCTCTTCTCTCTCCTGTCTTCTAGACTCTGTGACACTCCCCTCTTCCTGCTGCATTACCTTCATTTCCAAGAAAATTCCTGAGAGCCGAGTGATAAGCTACCAGCTGACCAACAGGAGCGTCTGCCCACAGGCAGGAGTGATGTAAGTAACTACTACTTGGGGGGGAGCAGGGAGAGATGAGCCTCCAGGCTCACTGGGGGCCCTGCTCTGTGATCCCGGACAGGTCACGCCACCTCTCTGAGCTTCAGCTTCCTCACCATGAGACTAGAAAGAGGATTCAGGGTTGACCACCATAAATATATGAGGCAGCCTTTGGGGCATATTTTTGCTGTTGCTGTTTAGTCACTCAGTCCTTCCAACTCTTTGCCACACCATGGACTGTAACCCACCAGGCTAGTGTCCATGGGATTTTCCTGGCCAGATTACTGGAGTGGACTGCCATTTCCTTCTCCAAGGGATATTTCCTGACCCAGGGTTCAAACCTGCGTCTCCTGCTTGGCAAGCAGGCTCTTCACCAGTGAGCCACCAGGGAAATCCATCGGGGCATATAACATTCCCCTAACTAACCCCCTCAGCCATTATATCAGCTGCAGTTGTTTATCCCCATTTGACAGGGGGCAATTGAGGCTAGAAAGGTGACCTACTCAAGGTCACTTAGGACTTGAAATAAACTTCAGAGTTGCGAGACAGCAAGTGGGAGCTCACTTCATAAACAGCAGCAGCATGCCACAGAAATGTGATCTTTTCTTAACCCAGAAGGTAGTATTTATAATGTATAACCATTTCCTTGTAGTGAATTGTTTAAAGCTCCTTACACTTGTTTAAATGGTTTTGCATGCTCAGTCACTTCATGTCCAACTCTTTGCGATCCTATGAACTGTAGCCTGCCAAGCTACTGTCCATGGGATTCTCCAGGCAGAAATACTGTGGTGAGTTGCCATGCCCTCCTCCAGGGACTCTTCCCAACCCAGGGATCAAACCCATGTCTCTTATGTCTCCTGCATTGGCAGGCAGGTTCTTTACCCACTAGTGCTACCTGGGAAGCCCCAAAAGCAAGTATTTATGCAATGGTTTACATAATTCAGAGAATTGTTTTTATCACTCTGGAAATTAATTAAAACTTTGAATCTTTATTTGTCTGCATCTTTGAGGGGGATTAAAGAAAACCATTGTATTATTATTGGTAATTTTCTCCACTGGCACCAGACCCAGCTCCACAGCCTGGTATCCCTGGTTTGGAAGAGGGCATTCCACTGCCTCCTCCCAGCTCTGGCATCCTTATCGACCACCTTTCCTTGCACAGTGTGTGAGCTGGAGGCCTTTTTGTCTTGGGGGTTTTCAGTGCATCTTCTCCTCTCGTCCCCTGTGAGTAGACACTGCGTCTCTCCCTTCAGACCCAGTGTTCTCTGCAGGTAGGGCTGGGCTCCCCCATCTGACAAGGAGGTTACTGAACCTGAACATGAAGTTTTGGGAACAAAGGGATGCAGACGCACAGAGAGAAGACATTGTGTTCAGAGCCTGCCAGGAGGCTGGGGCAGTGGCATGTCCTCTGGGCTTCCACGTGCCCTCCTCAGAAAGGGGAGGGATCCCACCCCCTGCCCAGCTTCATGGGTGTCCTATCTTCTCCCCACAGCTTCACCACCCGGAAGGGCCAGAAGTTCTGTGGCAACCCCAAGTTACCGTGGGTCCAGAAGTACGTGAAGAACCTGGATGCCAAGCAGAAGAAAGCCTCCACTAGGACCAGGGTGACGAACACTACAGCCCCCTTCTGGAGACACCTGGCCAACAGCACCTTCATCTAAGCCCTGCCCTGGCCCCCAGTCCTGAGCTTCGGCCTGGGTCTCGCCTCCTGGCAGGCTGCTTGGGGCCTGGTGAGCCAGTGGTGGTAGGCAAAGGACTACTGTTGCCATTTCTTTGCATCATTCTCAGGGGATGTGTCTAGTTTATTTAAAGAACCCAAGGCTCCAAGGATCCCAGCCCCTTGCTTTTCCTGAGCTGGGGGGAGAAGGTCTCAGAAGGAAGGCCATGGCGGCCCTTTGTCCTTCCTCTGAGCTGGAGCCAGCCCTTCTCCAGCTCACAGGTTGCATAAGAGTCTCAGTGCATGAGGCCTGAGCTGCAGACCGATTCTGCTTGTGCCTTAGTCTGCAAGCGGCTTCGATGGGCCCTCTGGTCTTGTAGTGAGACCTCCAGGCTGTCTGCCTGCCTGTCTGTCTGTCTGTCCGGGGATGGGTGACCTCTCAACACCTGTAGCTCTCCATCACAATGGGGATGCTCCGGGGATGCTCCAACTCTCGTCCCCTGTGAGTAGACACTGCGTCTCTCCCTTCAGACCCAGTGTTCTCTGCAGGTAGGGCTGGGCTCCCCCATCTGACAAGGAGGTTACTGAACCTGAACATGAAGTTTTGGGAACAAAGGGATGCAGACGCACAGAGAGAAGACATTGTGTTCAGAGCCTGCCAGGAGGCTGGGGCAGTGGCATGTCCTCTGGGCTTCCACGTGCCCTCCTCAGAAAGGGGAGGGATCCCACCCCCTGCCCAGCTTCATGGGTGTCCTATCTTCTCCCCACAGCTTCACCACCCGGAAGGGCCAGAAGTTCTGTGGCAACCCCAAGTTACCGTGGGTCCAGAAGTACGTGAAGAACCTGGATGCCAAGCAGAAGAAAGCCTCCAATAGGACCAGGGTGACGAACACTACAGCCCCCTTCTGGAGACACCTAGCCAACAGCACCTTCATCTAAGCCCTGCCCTGGCCCCCAGTCCTGAGCTTCGGCCTGAGTCTCGCCTCCTGGCAGGCTGCTTGGGGCCTGGTGAGCCAGTGGTGGTAGGCAAAGGACTACTGTTGCCATTTCTTTGCATCATTCTCAGGGGATGTGTCTAGTTTATTTAAAGAACCCAAGGCTCCAAGGATCCCAGCCCCTTGCTTTTCCTGAGCTGGGGGGAGAAGGTCTCAGAAGGAAGGCCATGGCGGCCCTTTGTCCTTCCTCTGAGCTGGAGCCAGCCCTTCTCCAGCTCACAGGTTGCATAAGAGTCTCAGTGCATGAGGCCTGAGCTGCAGACCGATTCTGCTTGTGCCTTAGTCTGCAAGCGGCTTCGATGGGCCCTCTGGTCTTGTAGTGAGACCTCCAGGCTGTCTGCCTGCCTGTCTGTCTGTCTGTCCGGGGATGGGTGACCTCTCAACACCTGTAGCTCTCCATCACAATGGGGATGCTCCGGGGATGCTCCATTCACAGGTGAATAAAAACCCAACAAAAGCAGAGGGCTCTTGGTCACAGACACCGCCAGATCCTGGCCCTCCTTGCACACCTCTGTGGGACATGATTAATAACGTTTTCAGGAACTCATTGGTTTTTGTAATGAAATGGACCTGGAGGACTTGGGTGAGGGGCCAGCCTGGGGAGCTGCATTCCTCTGTGAAGATAGGGGATTATTGAGGAGATGCTTTGCTTCGTGGTATGTTTTGGCTTCCCTGCTCCTTTGGGGACAAAGACCCACTCTGCCTTTAAAGCTGGCCTTTCCCCTACATTTTGCTGAGGGGTAGATGGGGTGGGAGTTGAGGGGGAAGAGGACTCCAGTTTTTTTTCCTACACCATGTCATTTGTCTGTCAAGTGTAGACGGACACACTTGATGTTCTGAAATGACAATCCAAGTAAAATAGAATTTTTCCTTCGAGGCTGGTCCTGTCTTTCCTGTTCTCATCTCCCTCGGGAGGGAGGTTTGGGTGTAAACAGTGGAGCGTGTGCCCCAGAGATCACCCTGAATGAGTTGCCCATTCAAGGCTGGGAGGGAATGAAGGCAGCCTGAGCCCGGGGCATCCCAGGAGTGGTCTTGGCCTGCCCTTGGGAATCCTGTTATGAACTTCAAAAAACACATATGCATGGCTGTATTCAATTAAATTTCTAAACAATTTCCACAGAACACATTGTTGCACAACAAGCTATTTAGGCATCAGAAGACTGTTAAATTATAAAAGATGGTCTCTGGTTTCAAAGGATGAGGGAGAAAAATAACACATCTACACTCACAAATCAAAAGCCGTGTGGCTTTCATACCAATCCTGATTGATAAACTGTAGGAGCTTGAAATATGTCACTTAATTTCTCTGAGCCTGTTTCCTTCATCTGTAAAATGTTGTTGTTGCTGTTACTGTTCAATTGCTAACTCGTGTCTGATTCTTTGTGACCACATGGACTGCAGCACCCCAGGCTCCTCTGTCCTTCACCATCTCCCAGAGCTTGCTCAAACTCATGTCCGTTGAGTCGGTGATGCCATCCAACCATCTCATCCTCTGTCGCCCCTTCCCTCCTGCTCTCAATCTTTCCCAGCACCAAGGTCTTTTCCATTGAATCGGCTCTTCAGGTCAGGTGGCCAAAATATTGGCGCTTCAGCTTCAGCATCAGTCTTTCCAATGAATATTCGGGGTTGATTTCCTTTAGGATTGACTGGTTTGATCTCCTTGCAGTCCAAGGGACTCTGGGAGATGAAAAACTTTTCATTTTTGAGTTTTCCCCAGAAGCAGTCCCCAAAACAAAGATTGGGGTTAAAATACTACATTTGAGAGGTACTGGTCGCACACACAGGAAACACCACCAGGAGAAAGAGGATGTAACACGAGAGACAGAAAGCAGCCAGTAAGAAGAGTGTGTTACCAAGCAGAGGGGAATCAGCTCCAGCCACAGGGAAGTGCTGTGAGACCCACCCCTCAGAATTATACCTCCCTCCATCACTCACTGCCAACTGGGGAGAGATCCCCAGCGGTCTTCCTGCAGGTGGGAGGCAAGCCAACCTTCCGCGGTCCAAAACGAGCCTCCTGAAAAGACCTGGCAGTAAACTATTAAAGTTCTTTGGTTGTTGTCGTTCAGCCGCTAAGTTGTGTCTGACTCTTTGCGACACCGTGGACAACAGCATGCCAGGCTTCCCTATCTTTCACTATTAGCTCAAACTCACGTCCATTAAGTTGGTGATGCAATCTAGCCATCTCATCCTCTGCTGTCCTCTTCTCCTTTTGCCCTCAATCTTTCCCAGCATCAGGGTCTTTTGCAGTGAGTTAGCTCTTAGCATCAAGTGGCCAAAGTGTTGGACCTTCAGCTTCAGCATCAGCCCTTCCAATGAATATTCAGGGTTGATTTCCTTTAGGATTGAGTGGCACCTTCTTTTAACACCATATAAAGCAGAATCAAGGATATGGGTAAACCACGCAGAAAAGAGGACATTGTGATGGGGGGAAGAGAACCTGCAGAAATCCTTAGCAAAGAGCTGGCATCTGAACAGTGACTGAGCTTTCCCTCTGAAAAGAAGAGTGGTTTTCTAAGGATGGAAGACACCTTGCATCTTCAGGGATGACAGACTGAACCACAAATAGACATCGGTCTCATAGGTGACAACAGAACTCTGACACAGAGACTCTGTAGCAACCAGCCCAGAAAACCAGGGTTTTCCCTGGAGGTCCAGTGGTAAAGAACCTGTCTGCCAATGCAGGAGACACAAGAGACTTGGGTTCAATCCCTGGGTCGGGAAGATGCCCTGGAGGAGGAAATGGCAACCCACTCCAGTACTCTTGCCCTGGAAATCCCAAGGACAGAGGAGCCTGGTGGGCTACAGTCCATGAGGCCACAAAGAGTCAGACACGACTGAAAACCAGTGGTTAAGACTCTTCACCTTCGAGTGCAGAGGGTGCCAGTTTGATTCCCTGGTCAGAGGAGCTAAGATTCCACATGCCTGGTGGCCAAAAGAACAAAACATAAAAAACAGAAACAACATTGTAACAAATTCAATAAAGACTTTTCCCACACCAAAAAAATCTTTAGAGAAACAAACTCCCAAATCAATCACAGATGTCTGCTTATAGTTATCCCTTCTCCAGCTTCCTGACCAACAGCTTCTAATCAAGACATCCCTGTGCCTTCCTTTTTTTTTTCTTTGTAAATTTGCTAATTTTTAATATTAACAGAAACATACTTGGTTTATACTTAGTTCCGTAAAATATGTCTGAACAGCATAATTAATGAGTCCAGAAAACAGAGGGTCAGGGACCAAAATTACAGGCCTAATAAATGATTTCTTCTCAGATGCTGAAGCGTCTCCTACCTTACAAACTTGAGCTTCTGTCCTTCCCTTTAAAGTGTACAGGACTTGTAGGCCTGCAGGGTTGGTAAGCTTGTTCCTGTTCTCTATCTTTGGAAATAATTTCAAACGCACATCGTCTCTTAAGGTCTTAGTATAACTTTTCCCAAAAAGCACCCTAAAGCGGCTAAGGAGGAAACCTGTTTAAGCAGCTCCTGAAAGGAAAGGGAAGAAACAAGAGGACAGATGATTGGTTTAAAATGATCAGTCTTTTGATGAGATGAGAGGTTGCCCTGGTCACAGGAATGTGACTCAAGAGAGACTTTAGAGTTGTTGAAGAAGCAGGTCTACTCTCTTCTTCGTGCTTCCAGCAGCAGGCCTTTTTGTCTTTCTTTCTGTTTAAGTAAGGTAGCTCTGGAAGACTTCCAGAAATATTCTCCCTGTGTTCTCTATTCAAGTCTACAGGCCCATGGCTTTCCACACTTGTGTTAACTTCCCTTTGCTGACAGTGTTGAGGATAAGGTGATTTTGATCATACTGTGTGCCCCCTTTGATATCTAAAACTAAATTTGGCTTAAGCTTGTTGTAAATCCTGCCGTCAGGCTTCATGCTCCAGAACTGACTGTCAGCGTTCTGTTTGAGCCCCAGGCCCAGCATGGAGCCAGAGGTTACGAGGCTCCCCACGATGGTCAGGCAGCAGTCTTCTGCTATCCTGCATTTAATGTATCCTTCTTGATAAATCCAAATCTGGTCATCAGCACCAGCATCCTCCATGACCTGTATTCTGAGAAGCTTCAGATCCTCTAGGTTTCCATTGGTTGACACGAATAACCCTGTTGCTTTGTTTCAAAGTCTAAAATAAATTCATTTCTGAACAAAAGGTCGTAGAGAAACTATTTGGTGACAGCCACTGAATTCATACCACTTAGGTACTTCTGCTGGTGACAGTAGGAACTGTCGGCCCCTGTGATTGCCATATTCACAAGTAACCCGTATGCCACCAATCACCTGGACAGAGCATATGTGTGTGTTGAATCCTAGGGATTGGAGATTAACTATTTCTGTATTAAATTCAATCTTTTTTCCTTTGAAGTCTTCTCTTTCAAAGAGAATAATTGTTGGTTCAGAAAATTCAACATCTGTAAAACGCAGAGACTTGAAAGCTGCTCCAGGTTGTCATCCCATTGCAGAGAGTGAAGGATAGTGGCCTTCCT